TGTCTACACATTCTACTGGGTGGTCAACGCCGCCTCAGCACATCGTGATCATGGGGTCAGATTTGTAATATCCGATCGCCTCCATGGCCAGCTCGTGGGTGAACCAACGGGCATCAGCGCGTGACTGATAACTGTTCGCCTACTACTCGGAAGAGGTAAGTTTGCTACCTTTATAAGCACGTACGGTCCGACCATGTGTTATCCTGATGACATGCGTGATCAATTCTGCACACAGATATCCTCCGTGATAAGGTCTGTGCCGAGGAGCGACCGACTATTTCTGCTGGGTGATTTCAACGCGCGCGTTGGGCGTGATGCACCGGTGTGGACAGATGTTATCGGTCCGCATGGCCTTGGTTCAGCGAATGCGAACGGTGACAGGCTGCTCTCACTGTGTGCCACTCACGGCCTGACGATCACGAACACCTGGTTTGCACTGAGTACGAGTGATTTAGCAATTTGGACGCATCCACGGAGTGGCCACGCTCACCTGCTCGACTGTCATCGTACGTCAGAGTGAAGTGCGCATGACACGTGTACTGCGTGGAGCTGCGTGTGGCACTGATCACAAAGTGGTGCGGACTAAACTGTACAAATATTTTCCTAAATCTATGTATTGAACTCCCGCCGTGAATCGGCGTAAATTTAACATTCTCTCCCTCGGTACTGTGGAGAAACGTATTGAGCTAGAGAAGGCGATGGCTGCACGCCTGTGTGATGTTGACTGCATAGACCCAGTGGGCGCCCCGTGGCACCATATTCGAGACCAGGTGATAGCTGCTGCCGAGGAGACCATCGGGCGCGCAAACTGTAAGCGGTCTGCTTGGTTGGGAGAGTACAATATGACGATTGATGCACCGGTGTAGGAGAAAAATGCAGCATTTGTTGCACATGTGGCAGACCCCAGTGACTTGGGAAAGAATATTCAGTTGCGCAAATTTCGACGGCGACTGACCCGAGAGCTCCGTCGAATTAAAAATGCATGGTGGATAGAGAAGGCGAAGCAGATGGAATGCTACGCCGAACGCCGCCAACACAAGGAATTCTTTGACTTCCTGAAGGCGGTGTATGGACCGAAATTGGTGCCGCTTAGGACCCTGATTGATGGTAGTTCAGGCGCTACCTGCACACCGACTGCAGACATAATGCAGATCTGGCGAAACACTTTGACTGTCTCTTGAACAACCGTTCAAAGATCGGACGGCCAACTTTGAACGGCCTCAAGCAGCGCGATGTGAAGGCGAGTCAGGCGAACACGCCGACACTGGACGAAACTCAGAGAGCACTTCCTCAGCCGAAAAACGACAATTGTGTTGGTGCCGACGGTAGCCCCGCTGAAGTAATGAAACACGGCGGACCCGCGTTGGTGACTGCGCTGCACCACTTGGTGCAACGCGTGTGGATTGAGGAGGAGGTGCCTCCTGAGCTGAAGGGTGCCCTTGTGCTAACAGTGTACAAGGGCAAAGGGAGCAAGCAATGTTGCACGAATTATCGTGACATCAACTTGCTGAGTTGTGTGGGCAAGGTGATTGCCCGAATCCTGCTGTACGGCCTCATCAGTCAAGTAGTGGAACCTAACATGGCGGAAGAGCACTGCGGATTCCTTTCGGCTCGCAGCCCTATAGATATGGTGTTTGCGGCTCGTCAGTTGCAGGATCAATGCAGAGAACGACACCAGCCATTGTACTCGCTTTTAGTTGATTTCATCAAGGCATTTGATACGGTGAACCGCGAGGCACTGTGGCTGGTGTTGGGTAAGTCTGGTTGCCTGCGTAAGTTTGTAAGTGTACCTGAAGGTCTGCATAGTGGTATGTAAGCGAAGGTGCAGCTGAGTGGAGAGACCTCGGATGACTTTACAGTTGTCACTAGTGTGAAGCAAGGCTATGTCTTAGCGCCCGCCCTGTTTGATAGTTATCTTCATGCAATGTTGTCCTGTGCTTTTGATGCCGCTTGTGCTTGCAGTGTTCGTGTGGAGCACCGTATTGATGGTGGGTTGCTGAACATCTGTCGTTTCGGTGCGAGAACCCTAGTCTGTGAGACAACTATCCGTATGTTGCTGTTTGCTGACGACTGTGCGTTGTTTGCACACAGCGCGGAGGAGTTGTAGCACATGACTAGTGCTCTGGCTTTGACAGCGGCCAAATTCGGCCTCACCATCAACACAAGCAAAACCGTCTGTCTTTTTCTGCCTTCACCGGAGGTGTTTCAATATTGCCGCGAACCAGCATTGGTGATGAAGTAGTGGAAACCACCTCCCGCTTCTGCTACCTTGGGAGTGTGATGTCGACTGACCAGCAGCTACACAGTGACCTGCGTATCCGCGTCTCGAAGGCAGCGGCGGCATTCGGGAAGCTAGAGTACCGATTGTGGAACAACCATCAGGTTACGGTTACCACTAAGCTGATGGTGTACAAATCCATTGTGCTGTCCGTTCTTCTATACGGCAGTGAAACGTGGACGATGTACCGTCGGGATGTGGGATATCACTAGCGGTTCCAACAACAGTGTTTGAAGGCGGATTCTGTACATCGGTCATCGTTGTCTGCGAAGCACTGCTGGTGTCGGATGGCACCAGCGTGTCCGCAACGATGATGTGCGTAGGCGAGTAGTAGGTAGTGATAATCATGCTACTTCCGTAGAACAACAGATAGCAGTGAATAAGTTGCGTTGGCTAGGGCACGTGCTACGTATGCCTGGTCACCGCTTACCTAGGAAGGCCTTGTTCAGTCTACCAGGTGTAGGATGGCGCAAGGCTCGGGGTGGACAAAAGTTGAGTTGGCAGCGGGAAATAAAGTCACTGACGACCAAACTGGGTGCCGTTGGTCCGTCTCGCCTTCCGGGTTGGAGTCCACGTGACTCGCGTTGTGCTTGGCTCGAGACTTTACATGACATGGCTCGCAACCGACAGCAGCGGCGCTTCTGTTGCCGTCACCTAATCGGATTACCTGTTTACAGTGTGTTTGATGCTGGGTTACCTGCGGGGTAAAGGCTGATTATGAGGCGGGACAGTGAAAGCCGCAAAGAAGCTGTCTCGCTGATACCACTTTATCTTTGCACGATAGGCAGCTGTTTGTGACGGTTTGTTTTCTACACAAGGTGTAGCCGCCTCGACCATGAATGTTTGCTTAGGACATTAAGGTTTTCAGGTAAGTTCCGCTTCTCGCCCTCTTCTTATTCTTTATTTCATAGGTCCTCATGGTTGTATGGCAGCGAATCATTAGTTCAAATGGCTGATGTACTGCTGTTGATGATGATGATGATAATTTCCGACGACGAGGGTTGCCCAATTTCCCCTCTTTGTTCAAATTCTTCGTGGACTCCATCATAGAGTGCTCCCTTGCGGAATCTAACGATGCAGGTTTTGAGGTGCTACCTGGCAAAGGCCAGTTGATCTAGCTTAACGGACGATAATGCATAGCCGTTTATCGATGTTGAGGCGGCACAATCAACCCTTGAGTAACTTTACCAGAGTGGTCTCACCATTTGGCATGCGCGTCGTACCTACAAAGCGCAAAGTGTTGTTACAAGACCACCAGTCACTTTATGACCCCTTGACCTTTGATGGAAAGGAACTCAAGGTAGTTGGTCGATTTACTTATCTTTGCAGCTGCATCTGCAATTATAGGCGCATAGCAACTGAAGTCTGTTCACGCATCGTAAAGCCAGAACTGCCTTCGTGAATCTGCGACATCTTTGGCGACAGCAAGGAGTTGCGCTCTGTCTAAAAGGTTGCGTTTACAAGGCAACAGTGAGGGCCCTTCTGCTCTATGGTAGTGAGACTTGGCCCCTTCGGTCTGAAGATCTGAGGCGTCTTCAAGTGTTTGATCATCAATGAAGCTGTCAAAATCAAGACCAAGGCAATCTGATTGATTGCCTCAAGAGTTTCTGTGCACATAACACAGGTTATCAACTTGTGTTATGTGCATAGAAACCCTTGAGGCAATCAATCAGACTGCCTTGGTCTTGATTTTGACAGTTTCATTGATGTGCCAATATTTTCCCATGTACATATTTTGTCTGCCAGATGTAGGGTAGTGCAAGACTCGAGGTAGACAAAAGTCGACTCGGCAGCGGGAAATGAGGCCACTGACGACCAAACTGGATGCCATTGATCTGCTTCGCCTTCCAGGCTGGAGTCCAAGCGACCCGCCTGGTGCTTAGCTTGAGACGTTGCAGGACATGGCTTGTGCTCAGCACCAGTGGCGCGTATGCTGTCGTCTCCTAGTCGGACTGTATGTTTAAAATGTGTTTTGTGATGATTTGTATGCGTAATAATGGCTGATTATAACGCAAGAGAGTGATAACCGCAAGGAAGCAGCATCGAAGATGCCTCCTGATTTTTGTACGATAGCCAGCTGTTTGTGACTGTATGTTATTGACGAGATGTAAGCATCTTGACCCTGCTTAGGGAACCAAGACCTCATGCGAGGCTTTCCTTCTCTCCCTGTTATAATTTTTCGCTGCTTAGGTCACCGTGGTTATACGACAGAGAAGTATCAGTCCTAATGGTTGATGTAATGCTGTTGTTATTGTTGATGATGGAATTCTGTGATGCGCCGTGGAAGAAATGGCAAAGGAGCACGAAGAAAGCCCCCGAGTGCCTAGGGGCGCTTTATGCTGATCGTTGTGCTATAGGCGTGCTTTGAGATAGGATGCATCAGTGACCATACCATTTCCGATTCATCTTAGGCCATGACGGAATCAATTTAGGCTCTAAAGAGTTCGAATTGAGCGGTTACCATTTGCAAGTCAGTCCATTCCACACGTTGGCCGACATGTGGAATGGATTAATTTGAAAATGGTAAAAGCCCAATTCGAAAGCTTTACGGCCTAAATTGATTTCGCTGTGGAGTAACGACTCGGAAATGGTACAGATGTATATCGGAAAAGATGTGATGAAGAAGTCCTTGGCGCCATTGAATTCTTTGCTTCGGTTCTGATTTGCAAATTTTCCACTTTAGTCTAGCTTGTCTACTAATCCAGAAGTAATGGTATCATAATTACATTCTAGTGACGCGAAGTAACGCAACTGAATCCACCGTGCTTGCCGAACTGAGTATCAATGGTAAACCCACTCGAACAGAAGCGATGCTAGTTAAAGACAAATACAGGCGTAATATCGATAAATTGAAGTTAACCTGGTTATTAGGACAAAAGCAAAAGTGGCGCGGAGCTGCAATTTCTACCGGTAATAAGGTCGGAGCGGAGAAAACAGGTGTGGGAGTAATTGCATCACTGAAAACAATTTGACCACAAACGATAGCAAAGTGCACTCTTAAATAGTATATGACATAAATACTGGCCTACTTGCAGGGCGGCCGGAGAAGAGACGCGGCGTTCCGCATCAGTTGTCTGGATTAACGAGGGGTCTTTGACGCCCACTTTAACTTGACGCGAGGCCGATTCGGTGTACAGTGCAGCCCAGTCGAAGAGTGACCAAGTGTGCCATGCCAGTGCGTATTCGACCAACAGGATATCGGTGATAGCATCACCGACAGCTGTGTTCGTCAGCGCGTAGAAAATCGCCAGAGGGTGCTCTGCATCCAGAGTACGAATGTAATTCAATGCTGCAGTGGAGTAGAGCACTGTACCGTGTCCATTGGCCTGAGGAAAGATCGCAAAGCACAACAGTAAGTGAACGGTCAAAAGCGGGTGCATTTTTAACAAATCGTAAGGCACACTCCACAAACAACGAGAACAAATTAAGCATAAGCGAAAATATTGCATCATATGAGAATGTGCAATCGTTTACATCGCACACAAAACACGTGCAGCAGTAGACAAAAACAGTATGGACGGATATATAGAGGCAATGTCTGGCAGAAATCAACCGGATGAGTTCCAATGGTCACACCACCAGTGAACTATGTGCTGGGTTGGTAGTCAAGAGAAGTCAACAACATCGAGCTAGCAGAGCTGATGCACAAGGTGTCCAACGAGGAACTACACAGTAAGCACCGCAGGGATTAGTTGATGGACCACCCAGGCTTCATGCTGATCAGTGAAGGTGGTAGCGAGAGGAGCTGGTCAAGATAAACGAAAACATATGCCCCATCACGTGGCGTTAGTCGAACAGACAGTACAACCTGATCATATGTGCGTACATGTCTGGGTGTTGAGGACACAGCGATTTTGGCCTCGTCTGTATCAACGAGATGGAACTGGAGTGAAACAGAATGAGCCAATTCAGAGCCATAAACGAGAGGTTAAGGTAGGTGTGTATCGACATAAAGTATGGAGCAATATGCCATGGCGATGCCAAACGAAATGGCTCAAGCCGGTGAGATTCGACACATTTTTCAACACTGAGTTCATGTTGTGGCCATCGCACATGTTCACTCTAGGTTAACTTTAGGTATGAAGACTAATCCGGTCGATTGTGATCACGAGGTGTACGACGCAGAATAGGTATACAGCTCGGATACATTCGCTTGATGTATAGGTATATAAATAGCCAGACAGGCAACCCATTTCGGAATAATCTTAACTCTCATCGGCCTATGAGTTTCACCATCTGGCACCTATCCTTTCCACTTCATATTTCCCGTTATGCCTTCCGTTATTAAGTTAGCTGAGAAAAGAAGACACCAAAGGTGCTCTTTCACCAGATATTGCTTGATGAAGTGCTGAGACTACGTTTGGCTCATCACGTCTGTTCATAACTGTCAATTAAAGACACCGCCTAAGCTTGATTCACGCGACATGCCATCCGCGAAGACGCACACAACAAACCAGCAAGTGGTGTCTGGGAAACGTGTAGCCGGTTACCTCGAAATAAATTCCAATGTCGAAATCGCGCGCGGCATGATGTAAGTGTTTGACCCCAGTTGGTACGCATTTGACGCTGACGCTAAGTGTGTTACGCAGGTATGCGGTGGACCCGGTGTTCGCATACGCTGTCTGTATCACGCCGACCGTCAGCTGATGTTCAGATCGAGTGAAGTTCAGCAGCTGAGTGAAGAAGCTGGCGAACAAACAGGCGATTCGGTCTCCATCGAGGAGCACAATGCGTCGAGGACATTCAGCTGAGTAGTCGTGGTAAAAGTAAAGCAATCGATCCGCGTCTCCATCGATAGTGGCCCAACGGTCGGTAGCAGAGCGGGGCACATTCGAGTGGACAAAATGAATTGTTGGTGCTTGTGAAGAAATCTGTTGGGACCAGAAGCGCACGAAGGCAATAACCGCAATCGGTAATATGCAATAATACATATCATCCACACAATAAAGACTCGTCAGTGAAAGGGACAACAAAGCATTTGGGGAAAGACGTTGTTACTACAAAACGCGGGAGAATAAACATAGGTATTATAACTAATTTGCGGAGGATGGGGTCTCGTGATAAGTACAAGCGAAATGGAGTTATTGCAGTGAAGTTTGTTGCCAATCGGGGCCAACAATGTAGTCGATGCAAAGCGGAGGTGAAGAACTAGGCTATTCAAGTCGGTGCGGCGACAAAAGGTCCGCAGTATATGTCGAAAAAAAGCACTACCGAGAACCGAGGTTCTGGATGAAAAGAGTGAATATGGAGAGATCGATCTCAGTGTGGCAACAATATCTACCAAATAGACCAGGGGTCACCAAACTACGACCCGCGATGTCAGTGCATCTGGCCCGCCAACTGTACTCGTTTTTGCTTGGCAAAGCGTAGGGAACACGAGACGCTGTAATACAATTTACATTTGACACTGCATGTCGTGTTATCGGTGACCTACTGCCGTACTATTTGTGACCCCACGTAGTTAGAACACTGATGTGAGCGATCACGCATGAAACCTTGGTGCCGCAATTTTCTTTTGACCAAATCCATTGAACCACGTCATATGAAACGCAGCTTACTAGTACACCGCTAGTTTGTGCATGTGCCACTTTAGAGCCATATTTGCTAGGTAATTGGAACGAATTACAGGTTGAGTAAGGAATTGCACTGGAAAGGTGAATTGTTGAGACCTTCAGGGGGACGCTTACTGCGGTTATATGGCTTTCCTAAAGTTCACGAGGAAGGCGATCCAATGCGTCCCATCTTGGACATGGTTGGTTCCCCGCAACATGTGATTGCTCAATGTAAGGCTGAGAAGTTGGAGCCGCTGCGTCAGACCACCTGAACTTAATTCGTAAAAGACACTTCGAATTCATTAAAATGATGAAGAAAGAGAACCTTAACAACAAATACATGACATCATTTGACGCTCAGTCATTGTTTACGAATATTCTGTTTTTGGAAACAGTGGAATATGTTTGCGAACTAGTACATCTGAACGTAGCTACAAACCTCCCAGAAAATCTTCTGAAGAAATTGTTACTCAGATGCACCTTACGCGTGCAGTTTACTTTCAACAAAAAGATATATGGTCAGATTGATGGAGTTGCTATGGGATCACCATTGGGACCCGTTCTGGCAGATGTCGTTATGGTTACATTGGAGCACAGCACATTAAATGCGTACATCAGTGAAGTCAAGATGAATACATACGATGCACATGATACTTTCACACTCTACAAATCGAAAACGCAACTGCTAAAGCTTTCAATAGCGCGCATCAGAATCTGCAATGCACCTGTGAGCACGACTGCGGAAATCGTTTACCGTTCCTGTAGGTTGATACTAGCAGAAACACCAATGGATCGTGCAGTAGAAAGCTGCATATAAAACACACTTGGACTATGGTGCGGTATCACTATAGCACAAACGAAATCTAGTTCGCACTCTTGCTTTCCGGGCGCGTAAAATTTGCACACCGGACACCAATACCGAGGAATCGCAGAGAATCAGTGACACTCCATAATCAAACGGGTATCCTGATAAATTCATCCTCAAACATTTGAAAGAATGGAAGATAAAACCACAGAGAATGCGTATACCCAAAAAGAATTTAGTGTGCATTTTCCTTTCAAAGTCGATGGTGTGGCTGATGCTCCATTTAGACGCCTGAAAGACGCTGCAGAAAAGACTTATTTCGCAGCTAGCCAACGCATAGTATGATGCAACAAGCCTTTTTTCGCAAACCATTGAAGGATAAACTACCTCCATTGACTCGATCAATGCTTGTTTACCAGTACTCGTACTCCTGTGATGCACGATACGTCGGTCGTCCTGTGAGGCATTTGTCTAATAGGATTCGCGAACACATTCCGAATTGATTTTGCAGAAGTGAAGCGAGGTCTTCTAATAGCTCCACCTCCTTGAGCACGGTTACGCAGGCTCGAAAAACGAATTCAGGGTCGTCTACTCTATTCCTGAGCGCTTCTCGCGCGGATTCCGGAAACAACTCCTATCTATTGCTGAAGCTAACTTCATCCGTTACCTCAAACCGGAGTTGTACGTACAATAGCAATTTGACGCCTCTTAGCCTAGGACTTCGATTGAGGGTAATTTTCCTTTGCAATTAATCTGCTACCTTCAGTGATCGTGTGATGTATCGATTCGCGTCCGCTAGAATTAAGCACAGGTAGCCCGGGTTGGCTTCTCACTAGTTGATCGGTATGCAATCATTTTAGAAAGCTCGGAGAACCGATCAACAGCATGTAAATGTCATCATGCAAAGTCTGCCGGATGAGAATTATTTACTCAGTATCTGCCTCATTCCGATACGTTATGGCATTGTTAAACGCCTGGATGTCGCACCGACAGCCAGACCGAGCACTATTCGTTGAATTGGCTTTGGTGGAAACGCTTTGCTCAAGCTTTCCAAGCGCGTCGCCGCATATATATAGCATTCTTATGTCATATACTCTATAACCGAAGGTACCCGTGGTGTTCCACAGTTCCATTAGTGACCGCTAATCTGTTTCTCCGGTGTTTCAATTGGATTTTTTTCATGTTAGTAATCCAATATCCTTTTCTCGTCAAAATTTCATGTATTGTAGCCTTCGATAAGGCTACTAAGGAAAAAAAACGAACAACGAATGTCACGATGGGCAGAACAAATAGAAGGGCAGTTCAGTAGGCGTACTGCGACACTATCGTTTGCTAAATCATCTGAGCTGACGTAGGGAGGTGATTGCACACCTCATACTTCGGAAGAGATTTGACGTGAGCTTGCCATGCTTAAGCGAAACAAGAATCCTGGACAATACGACTTTTCTCCATCTTTGCTGAAAGATAAAGGCGACTATTTACTGCTTAGAATTGTTGTTCTATTCAACAGGATTTGGAACACCGAAGAGTTGCCTTCAGACTGGCAACTGTCTATGGTCGTGCCCATCTACAAAAAGGGTCAGCGCACTTTGTGCGATAATCTTCAAGGCAATACGCTTCATTCAATTGCCCCCAAACATCTCAAGGGTAGCATTCTCCGATGACTTAATGGTCCACGTGAGGACCGGAGCAGTGAAAGTCAGACAGGCATCCGTCCTGCTCGTGTTCGCATGGACCACATGTTTGCAATTCGCTGTTAGAGCAAAAACTACCGACTATGGTGAGGTTTCTTGATTCGAAAGCGGAATTCGACTCTGTTGATCGAGTCAGCTTGTGATAGTACCTATCCTTGAAGAGAGTGCCAGGGAAATTCCTTTCCACTCTGAAGTCTCTAACGTGACTTCCGAGACGGGGTAAGGGTCTATGAAAAGCTGTCTCCTGAGTTCCCCGTGAAAAGTGGAGTTCGCTAGGATTGCCCTACATCACCTTGCCGCCACAACTTTGGGGAGTTTTCCAGCGTGGAAGTTCTGCTACGTGACTGAGCGAAGAACTTTGAGTATGTGGGCAGCAGAGATCTCTAGGGTCGGACGCACTGGCTATGCAAAGACTCTTGGACAGACTGACGCATAGCACTACACGCTTCGGCATGTGCATTGCATCTGCCAAAGAGAAAGTATTGTTGAAGGACTGGACAGATACGCCACTAGTTTTGGTTATCACCGAACAGAAACTGGAGACAGTCGACCGGTTCACTTACCTTGGCTGTTATGTCAACTCTGATAGTCACATCACTGAGGTAGTAGGTATAGTAGTGTAAGCTCATACGTCCAAATTATTAATCGAGTGAAACCTCCATATCGGTCTTTCCCTCCTTCCTTCATTCCGGGAATAATCAGTGCTGATCACAGTTTACTCGATTCGTACAACAATCTCATGGATCGAATCTTACGCCCAGATCGCTTTGACGTGGACCCTCAATCTTCTGGCGCCTGAAAACGCTGGTCCCATTAGATCTATACTTTCAACAATTTCTTAGAATCTATCGAATCCATAAGGCCGGATAAGCTGAAAATGTTAATGAATTATATCTCATATGCCCTGTTCGAGGTGGTTATTCAGTACTCTTATTACGAGGATGCCGTCAAAACGCAACAGGATATCTACGTAAAACCCGAAAACGAACTTTTTGCACGTCACATTCTTGCTACTGTCGGGCAAGAAAACGGCGAATCGTTAAATCAATTCATTTAAAAATTAAATTTTGCTGCTAGTGACTGTAATTTTCTATCAGCCATTGCCGACGAACATAAGAATCAAGTTACCAGAGGTGCTTCTAACCTCATCAGACAGAGATTACTGGAGAAAAAATCGCTCGATCTTCAGTCCACTTTCGAGATGGCTAGATCGCTAGGCTTGGCCCAAAAACAAGCGGCCTCCTTTCACATAACGACTTGTAACTCCACGATGAACACTGAAATCCCATTATCTGCGCCGCATCTATGTTTTCAAGAAGAACCACTCCGCGTCCTCTCAGTCAACGTGTTTCTTTTGCCGCTATGCTAGACATCCTAGATCAAGATGTCCCGCCAGAGATGCGATAGGTAAAGTGTGCAAAAAAGTCTATTTCCAGAAGGTTTGCAAGTACAAGTCAAGCAAAAATCACGGACCGTACGTTCCTATGTCAGTTTTATCTTCTGTGACATCTGCTACTGCGCCCAGCAGCCTTTGCAGTGCCGTTACTAACATTTTTGTGAATGACATACCGCTTCAAGTCCTCGTCGATACTGGGAGCTCTGAAAGCTTCGTTTCCGCTTCCGTTGTAAAGCTTAGCAAATTTCCCATCGAGACCTCTCGAGAACACATCGTTATGGCCTCCACCACTCATTCTAGTTTCATCCCAGGACATATTATTTCCACCATTCGACACAAAGACACCTCTTATTCTAATGTGAAACTCTGTTTTACTCAACCTGTACTCTTGTGTATTACTTGGTCACAATTTCCTTAAATGTCA